GTTGATTTCTAGAATGCAAATGAACAATACATAGTCAGATTTGGTGGGGAGAATACTATCATTTCAGAATGAAGTCAAACATATGAAAAGACAAAATACCCACTGTTGAAATAATATCAAAATATAACTTCCACATTTTATTCTAAATCCTTTTTTAGTAATGTTCTGTCATTTGGGAGGTGTCTTTACAATTTAGTGAAATAAAGGGGGAAATGGGTGATCACTTGAAATAATTTATTTTTTTAAATAATATCAGTGTTTCTTTTTTAAAAAAATATATTTTATTGATTTTTTACAGAGAGGAAGGGAGAGGGATAGAGAGTTAGAAACATCGATGAGAGAGAAACATCGATTAGCTGCCTCCTGCACACCTCCTACTGAGGATGTGCCCGCAACCAAGGTACATGCCCTTGACTGGAATTGAACCTGGGACCTTTCAGTCCGCAGGCCGACACTCTATTCACTGAGCCAAACCGGTTAGGGTGAAATAATTTATTTTTTATATGAATAGAAGATCTAGAAATAACTATATAACTTCCCCCCACCTTTAGGGGGAAAATTGATGATTGGTTTTCAGCAGCCTTAGTATATACAGCTTTTATGTTAAATGTGACCTTAGCAAATCCCACCTTAATTAAAATTCCTCAAGGTGTGAAAATAAAAATTGGAGCATATTAAGTCAGATATTCCAAGGAAAAAAGGATTCTGCAAATTAAAATTGACTTTTAAGGCAGAAATGCTGTTGAGCCCCCTTCCAAATAGAGGTAAAGATACTTCTATTTATTTCCTCCTCATTTAGTCAGTTTGTGGTGTCATTGACTAAATTCATTACCAGTAATATGCTACCAGGTGCTGTATCTCCTATATTGGGTTAAGCTTTACATTTTGTGTTGTAGCAATTGAAACAGAAAAATGTATGTACTTAGTTTGAGCTTTTTAGCCAAGATAATCACATGAATTATTTAGAAGCTCTTTAGAGAGCCCTAAATCCATCATTTGTTTTTTAAGCTGGGGAAACACTTACCGGCTCATTTTTTAAAAAACAGCTTTATTGAGATATAATTTACATACTATAGTTCACCCATTCCCTGTTAATTTTAAAAACCATTTCCTAGGGTTCTTTCGATGTGTTTTCAGATATTTACTACCTCCTTTCCCAGTCAATGGAAAGAAATAAATGGATTGAGGTATATAAGAGAAGGGTATTCCAGGTACAGGGAACAGATAAAATAAGGCCTTGAGGTGGAAATACTCGGTAAGATGAAGGAATGGGAAGAATATTGGTCTGGGTATGAAGAAAAAACAAACAGGAAATAAGGTAGGTGTCTTAGTGATGAATTATAAAGTAGATGGAACGAAGAGTGGGCTTCTGTCTTTCTTCACATCCATTAATGGGGCCTTATTCTAAGGGATCAGGAAGAGAAGACAAGAAATAGCAAACAGTTCCATAGAATCAAACCTTCCTTACTGATGTTCAGGGTACCATAGCCCTCTAGTGTTTTCCTCATTAGTACATTGGTATTAGAGTATTTTCCCCTGATTCTCATTCTCAGCCTGTCTAACTCTGCTATCATCAACTACCCTCTCCACCATTCTAGCCCCATTACCCCCCCCTCCCCCCACCCATGGCCTCTGCATAATCCCATGAGCATGGTATGGCGGTTTTCTGTTCTATTCTTTCATCATTCCTCTGCTCTCATCCCTCCAGTGCCTTCTCATAAGAATGAAATTCAGAGTTCTTACTGAGGCCTACCAGACTCTGCATCACCTGCTAGTTCCTTCTTTGAGGGGCTTGGCTCCCTCTCTGGTCTCAGTTCCTATTCCTCTCCCCCTGTGCTCACAATGTTCCAACATTGACTTCTCTGTTCTTCCTTATACACACTAAGCATACTTCCACCTCAGAACCTTTGTACTTGCTGTTCTCCCTATCTGGAGTGTTCTTCCCCAGGGTGTTTGTTTGTTTTTGCTTCCCTCTTTCATGCAGGCCTCTTTGAAATGTCACCTCCTTGGAGAAACTTCTCTGACCACTTAATCTAAAGTGGAATCTCCCACCCTGATACTCTCTATTTGCTTCTTCTGTTTTATTTTTCTTTATCAGATTTTCCTGTATGTGACATTATAATAAACACTTACTTTGCATTTGGTTATATTGTTCCTCCCCCACTGGAATGTAAACTCCTTGAAGGCAGGCTTGATGATTTTTGTGTACTGCAGTATCCTTAGTGCCTGGAATGGTACCTGGATCATTGTGGGCAGTTAATACTGTTGAATGCATGCTGATCTTCAGACTTCCCGAGAGAAGGGATCAGTTGGGCTGTCAAGTATTGAGTACATCTGTTGTTGGCTAACTGCCTCACCACCCTCTGAGCAACTGTTAAGTCAGATGCTCATTCTGATACATCCAACCAGTAGTAGCCAGGACAGTGATGTCACATAGTCCTCTTCTTTCAGTATCCCCTTCTCCACACTTAAATGGGCTCATCCCTTGAAAATTTTTGAATTCCAACTCTAGGTTCATGAGAAAAATTTTGCTACCTGCCATGCTGTGGAACATTTGCTTCCTAAGGTCTAAGGGAATGATAGGCAGAAATATTTGGCTTTCTTGACCTTCTTTATGTCCTGTTGTTGTGTCCTCCTGACTCAAACATTTGTTGGTCTCTGGATCTTCATTTTAGTCTGTCCTCTCTCCTCACCACTCATTTCTTTCTCTTGTTCTTTTCTCTCAGTTGCCATTTTGCTTTGCCCTCTATGTCATTCTACAGCTTGCTTAGCATCAATTCTTGCTTCTGAGAAACCTTTCCATTTACTTGCTTTGTGTACTCTTTTCTCATATTTGTTTCTTATGGTTGGAGAGAACAGGCTGAAACATTCATTTTTTTCATTTTTTATTTAATATTTGAAAACCTACTGTGTAAGACACTATGTCAGGTTCTGGGCCACCTCCAGTAAATAAAACCCCCAGGTTCTCAGTTGGGGAGACAAAGAGGTTTGAGTGTTATTCATTAATTCACTCATTCATTTAGCAAATATTTATTAAGACTGGGATATAGTGATTAGCAAAAACAAATTTCTTTCTCTCATGGACCATACATAGATTTTGGTAAGACAGACATACATTAAGTAAAAGATTATACGAACAGTTGTTAAATTAAAGCTATGTTGAGTCCTATGAAGGAGGGCTCTATAATGCCATGAGAATATATATTAGGGGTATTTGTTCTGGTCAAGAGAGCTGGGACAGCCTCCTTGAGGAAGTGAAGGGTAAACTGAGATCTGAAGGCATAGTAAGAATTAAGTAGGCAAAGGCAGCAGGAAAGAGAGAATAGCAGATGCAGAAGTCCAGCGCTGCCCTGGCTGCTTTGACTCAGTGGATAGAGCATCAGCCTTCAGACTGAAGGGTCCGGGGTTTGATTCTGATCAAGGGCATATGCCAGTGATGGCGAACCTTTTGAGCTCGGCGTGTCAGCATTTTGAAAAACCCTAACTTAACTCTGGTGCCATGTCACATATAGAAATTTTTTGATATTTGCAACCATAGTAAAACACAGACTTATATTTTTGATATTTATTTTATATATTTAAATGCCATTTAACAAAGAAAAATCAACCAAAAAAATGAGTTCATGTGTCACCTCTGACACGCGTGTCATAGGTTTGCCATCACTGGCATATGCCCAGGTTGTGGGCTGGATCCCCAGTAGGGGGCATGCAGGAGGCAGCCTGTCAGTGATTCTTTCTCATCATTGATGTTTCTATCTCTTTTTCTCCCCTTCCTCTCTGAAATCAATATATATAAAAGCCCAGTGCTGAGAAGGATCTTGGAGTATTTGAGGAAGTGAAAGCATATAGAACAGGATGGAATGATGCTGAAAGAGGCTGAAGAGGCAGTCTGGGGTCAAATGCTACATGGTTTGGTGGGTCTTGTTAAGGAGCAGTGCCATGGATGCAATTCAAGTGCTGTAAGCAGGGGGAAGGGGGAGAAAAGTATAAAAACATATCTTTATTTTAAAAACATTAGTCTGAATACTGTGAAGAATAAATGGAGTTAAGCATAGGTATAAGTGAGGGAAAGGAGGTGTGACTTCCAGTTAGGAGGCTATTGCAGCAGACCACATGAGAGGTGAGGGTAGGGGTTAGAAAGGATTTTATGTTTCCAAACCTACCCTCACTTCTTATTAAATGTATTTATTTATCCCAACAATTATTTTTGAAAGTTAACTTATACAGATGTGATAAAACTTAAGTTCATTCAAATGAGAAATGGATGATTTAAATGAAAAGGGGTATGCATGGAATTATACCAGATAATCTAGGATAAAAATGATGACTGAGCTTAAGTTTAAAACTTAGCTCTGAGCTCCTGGAAGCCTAGGCAGAGAAGGACATAGTATAAGTCATGTGATTGTTTAACAAAAGAAGCATGCTAGTTAAGTACGGAATGTAATACTTTTCTTATAAACATTTAAACTACTTTACTATACAATTGATATTAACCTGGATCAGTCCAGATTATTGAAACCCAAGACTTCAGCTCTTATAATCATGGCGTTAATCCATTTTTGGCAGTATGTTACATTGGAATTTCAAAGAGTAAAAATTTCTAAAAATTCCAGAGCTGAACCACATAAATGTGTTTCTTACTAGACCCCTTGCTACAGAGGGGAAACATAGGACAGTAGAGGAGATAAGAAATGTTAGACCTACTAAGAAGCCCATAATGCAGCCCATGGGCAGGAAGTAAAACCTTAATTTATTTCCTTGAGGACCTTCCCTTTTGCCTTCACAGATACTTTTTTTTCTTGCCTGCTTCTCCAGTAGCCATTTAATTTGTTTCCATAAATACTTATTCATAGAAGGCATCCTTCTTGCCTTGCAAGATGCATAGTCAGGGACAAAGAATGCCATGCACAGAAGTGGCAACCTTATTTCTCAGCTGTTCACATTCAAACCACTAAACCATACTTCAGAATCAAGAACTTCAAAAACAGAATTATTTCTAATCATTTTAATGAAGTTATCCAGAGTTCCCAGTGAGTGTTCTGTGCATTCTCTGTACTGGGACTTACTCTCCATGCTTTCTCTTCCTAGCCCTGTACTTGGTCAGTGGCTTTAGCTTTACTGTGTACTCTTGGTAAGATGTTAGGCCCAAAGGCACAGTAGGGTACCAGGAGAGCCAAAGAGAACCGCAAAATAGGGAACAATAAGTCAGATAAGTCCAGATTGTTGGCCCCCAAACCTCAGCTCTTGAGATAGTGGCTTTAATCCATTTTTGATAGTAGATCACATTGGTGTAGACTCCAGGAAGAGATTCAGCACATCCTAATCCCCAGCTTACCAGCCCTATCAGGGTCCATACACCATCAATATGACATGACAGAGGCCCTCCAGAATCACCCTAAGGAAGAGATAAAGGTCATGAGCATTATAAAAAAGACCATGAATAGGAATGTGGTCACAAGAGGTAGAGAGTTCCTTAGAATGGGGCAGTGGAGGCTGTGGAGCTACAGAACTCTAAAAGGCGCTGGACGTCCCACAGCATTAGGCGGGAGATCACAGAAATTCTAGAATTATAGAATTTGAAATTGGCAGAGATCTTAGCTAAATATATCAGTAGTTTCAAAATACTCATTTGTGGTAAGAAAGAGAAATTCATGTGATGAGTTTTTTCACTAAAGTTATTTAATTTAATGTACTGCCCTTATTGTTATGTCCTTAGGTTCTTAGGTTCTTATTGCCTTTTTTAGTGTCAATCCTTTCTTTTACAAAACGATAGTGATAAGTAAATAGTTGGTAATATGTCTTTAATCTTGCTTTTCCTTTTGGTAACAGCCTTATTGTTATAATTCACAACCATACAATTCACCCATTTAAAGTATACAAGTCAGTGGTTTTTAGTATATTTACAATGTTGCTCAACCATCGCCATGGCACATTTTAGAATATTTTCATCACCTCCAGAAGAAACCCCAAACCCATCAGCAGTCATCCTCATTTCCTCCCACTCCTCCCAGCCCTAGACCAACACCAGTAATCTACTTTTTGCCTTATGGATTTGCACATTCTGGACATTTTGTAAAAATGGAATAATATAATATGTGACCTTTTGTGTCTGGTTTCTTTCATTAGGCATATTCTTTTTAAGGTTCACCTATATTGTAGCATGTATTGGTACTCCATTCCTTTTAATGGCTGAATAATATCCCATTATATGGATATACCACGTTTTGTCTTTCTAGTCATCAGTTGGTAGACATTTGAGTTGTTTCACTTTTTGGCTATTACGAATAATGCTATTATGAACATTTATTTATAAGTTTTTATATAGACATGTTTTTATTTCTCTTGTGTGTATACCTAGGAGTGGAATTCCTAGGTCATGTGGTAACTCTATATTTAACCTTTTGAGGAACTACTAGACAATTTTCCAAAACAGTTGAACCATTTTACATTCCCACTAGGTGTATGAAGGTCCAATTTTTCCAGATTCTTAATCAACTCCTGTCATTATCTATCTTTTTTTAAAATATATATATATTTTTAAGAATCATGGATTGGCTGCCTCCTGCAAGTTCCCCACTGGGGGTCGAGCCCACAACCCGGGCATGTGCCCTTGACCGGAATCGAACCTGGGACCTTTCAGTTCGCAGGCCCACGCTCTATCCACTGAGCCAAACCGGCGAGGGCATCATTATCTATCTTGATTGTAGCCATCGGAGTGAATGTGAAGCCATGTCTCATTGTTTGATTTGCATAATGAATATACAGATAGAAAATCTTGGTAGAGATATAGAAAAGTGTAGTGTGTGTATGTGTGTGTGCTCACCTGTGCATATAAGGGGGGAGGGGAGGTTAAATGGTCATTTCAGAACTGAAAAATAAAATATTTGAAAAATCTCACTAGATGAACTTAACAGGAAAATATAGGTGACAGGGGAAAGAGACAATGATCTTGAATATGGATTAATTTAAAAGTATCTAAAGAACTGAAAAAGAGAAAAATAAAATGGACAGGTTCAGGGACCTGTGTGAAAATATCAAAAGGTGAAGTTTATAAATTTGTGGTTTTAATCAGAAGAGGAAAAAAGAGAAATAAAGTAAAATAATGTTGGAAGAAATCATCAATGAAAACTTTTCAAGTTTTGATAAAAAAATAAAAACAAGATTAAAAGAAAAACAAAACTCAACAAATGCCAAACAGGATAAATACAACAAAAACCATACATAGCACATCACAATCAAACTTCTGACAATCAAATATGAGGGAAAATTGAAAGCAACCAGAGCAAAACATGTCACACTCAGTAGAGGAAGACACAACTGATGGCTAATTTTTCATCAGACAATTATGATCAGGAGACAAAGGAAAAACATCTTTTAAATGTAGAATGAAATTTTATTACTTGAAAAAATAAAAAAGTTGGCAATTCTGTATCAACCTCTTAATATATTTACAAAAATTGACGAGTTTGTAAAAACCCAGTGACCAGTGGTTAGAGATGCTCTAAATGAACAGTTGAAGAGATTAAATTCCTAGATAAAGGTTAAGTGATTTGTCCAGACTAACACAAGAATTATTGTCAGAACTCTTATCTCCTGAGTCCTAATCCACTGTTGTTTACAGATAGAAATACCTAGATCCACATTAAGACCTGGGAAGTATTATGGTAAGCAAAATAAGCCTGTAAGAGAAAGACAAGTATCACATGATCTCACTCATATGTGGAATCTAGTGAACAAAATAAACTGGTGAACAAAATAGATCCAGAGACATATAAATAAGGAACAGACTGAATTTCAGAAGGAAGGTAGGGGTGGGTGGGAAGAAATTAACCAAAGAACTTATATGCATAACCCATGGACACAGACAATAGTGTGGTGAAGGCTGGGGCAGGGGGTGAGAGTGGGCTAGATTGGGCCAATAAGGAACAGGGGATATCTGTAATACTTTCAACAATAAAGATAAATTAAGAAAAAAAAAACGACTTTATACAAAAATTTTCAAGAGTAAACCCTAACCTTGCAGCTATCCTTTCTATGAATATCACCAGCACAAATCATGTCTTCCTTGATGATTGCCTCTAATTCTGGTACTATGATGATGAGTGGGTTGTAGAGATAGTCACAAGTTTGGCGGTCAATGACGGGTATTTCTGCTTCCTGGAGGGTGGAAGTGTAATTACCTGTAGAGAGAGAGACAGGAATTAAAGGAAAAGCAATTTGAAAAGGTGCAGGGGCAGTATTCAGTCATGATGTACAAAATTTCTGAATGGGAATCCAAAAGCAGAATATAATCACTTTCCAATCATATTTGCTAGTGGAAGAATTTTTTGGAACACTTAATCTAAAACAACAGAAAATTCAAAATTATTTCTGTTTGTTTGAGGTTTATCTAATGTGCCAATGTGGGGTATTCTTGACATTCCAAATAAAGAGAAATTCAGATACATTTTGATTAAGGAAGGATGTGAATATTCTAAAACTTTTACCTTTCCCACTTTTCTGCTCCCAGATCATTTCCTGTCTTGTCATTACCCCATTCTGGGAAACAGTTGACACTACACTTTAAAAACAAATTTAAAAAACACTACACTCTCTCCGAACTTTAAATCAAGTTTTTTAACCTGTTTCAGAGAGGTAATTATGTGTTTTAGTATCTGTTCTTGCATACTCTAGGCAGAATATGAGTAATTAGAGATAAAAATGTCAAAAATTACATTTTATTTGAAGACTTATAAATAATATGAATTGGTTGATCTGGTTTTGTTGAAAAATATTTACCTTGGTAAAAATGTATCTAGAATCTGAGTGTTCTGGAATGGGTATAAGAGGGTGACATATAAAACAACCCCTTTCTCTACCCATGCTCACCTTCATTTTCCTTAACTTGTCCCCATCCAGTGACCCAGCAAGAGCCAGGAATTGTCAACTGCTTTGTGATATTGGGCAGGCAGATGGGCAGGATAAAAGAAGTGAAGGTGACTCTAGAGGCCAGTTTCAATAAGGCAATGTCTGCAGTTGTATTTTGGGATTGGGGATGGAAAATTATTTTGAACACATGATGTTTCACACCGTTATTTGAATAGTCTATTTTAATCGATCCCAGCCACACAGAATATATGAAAGGAATCCAGGTCCTAAGGGGAAGAGAAAGAGGAGAATAAAAGTGAAGCATGCATATGTGTTACAGCTGGGTCAGAACAAGCTGCCTAGGTGTAGCAAGCGGTAACACTCCATAAGAAAGAAGGGTAACAGACTTGGAATTAACCAGGCTGCTTCCAACTTGACTAGAGTTGGTTTGTCTGCTTTTCTTCCTCCCTCCCTCCCTGATTGCTCTTTTTTTGTTGTTGTCTAATGTTTCTGTGGTCTCCTCTTATATGCTTATGGCCAGCATTTTGTCCTGCATTTTCTCTCTGGTTCTCTTGTTCACCTCTCCCATTGTCTATGGTTTCAGCCATCACCTGTATGCTTAATAGTCATTGGCCTTTTTTATTGCCAGTTTTTATTTCTGAGTACTAGACCTTCATTTCTAATAACAATTTAAAGCAAAGTATTATCACCTGTCATATATACTTATATATGTGTGTATATATATATATATATATATAATTTGAAATGTCAAATAATTTGATAAGATGTACTAAATAAATACAAAAGTTCTCTGCCCTACTGCCCACAATTAACCCTTACCCAAAGACAATCACTTTCAACTCTTAGATATTTTCCTTAGTATTTTCAAGAAACCCTATTTATTGCTATTAATTTTTTTTAATAGAATACTGTATTTCTATTGTGAAAGGTAAGGATTGAGCCAACAATCACTGCCAACCTCCCACTTTCTTTTCACCATTTTCCTAACCAAGTATTATGATTTTGTGTTAGATCCATATTTAATGTGTATATTTTTGTGACTTTGTAAACATTATTCACTACTGGACCATATTGGATCCTGTGAATACATTTCTTATAAAATTTTTGCGCTTGTCCTAGAGTTAATAATGTAGTCTTACTTCTGTGTCTTCTTAGTTTTCTAATTACCTATCATTAATTCATCATTCATTCCCCAAACTCTCTGCCTGAAATGTATATTTCTCAGTATGTTAATATCAATACTTTCTTTTCCTCCTCCTTCTCCTTCTCCTTTTTTTTTTTTTTCCCCTCTGCCCTCTTGCTCCAATCTTGGTACTTTTCCTTATCATTTTCCTGGGATTCTCTTCTATGTTGTATCATCTTTTTTCTGGATCCCATGTTTTCCTGTCTCCCCTCTACCCCCTTTATTTTGGTGAAGCACTTTTTTCCTTTGGCTTCCTGATAAAATGTGCATGAGAGGTAATATTTTTGCTGTTTTGTATATTTGAAAATGTCTTATTTCTGTCCCACACTTGATTGATGGTTTGCATATGGGTAGAATTCTAGATTGGAAATAATTTTCTCCCAGTATTTTAAAGTTATTTATTTTCTTTGACCTTGCAGTGTTGTTGAAAAGTCATGTTGTTTTAATTTCTGTATATATTAGTTATCTATTGTCAAATAACAAGTTACCACAAAGCTTAGAGCAGTGGTTCTCAACCTTCCTAATGCCGCGACCCTTTAATACAGTTCCTCATGTTGTGGTGACCCCCAATTTCATTGTTACAAATTGAACATAATTAAAGCATAGTGATTAATTACAAAAACAATATGTAATTATATATGTGTTTTCCAGTGGTCTTAGGCAACCCCTTTGAAAGGGCCGTTCGACCCCCGAAGGGGTCATGACCCACAGGTTGAGAACTGCTGGCTTAGAGGCTTAAAACACACATTTATCTCACAGTTTCTGTAGGCCAAGAATCAGGTGTGGCTTAGCTGGGTGCCTCTGACTCAAAGTGATCTAGGTGGGCTGTAGTCAACCTCAAAGTTTGACTCAGGGAGGATGTTTCCAAACTCACTTATGCTGGCAGGCTTGGAGTCTTCACTAGCTATTGAGTAGTAATGCTAGTTTTACATGGAACAATCCCTAGGGGCTACTTTCCATATGGCACCTTACTTCGCTCAAAGCTCAGATAGTGTTTATGACCCGCAAGCTTAAGACAAAATCCCCTGACTGGTGGTTAGCAAGTAATTTGGCAAAAAGTAAGAAACGTTTCTCGCCCTAGTCGGTTTGGCTCAGCAGAAAGAGCATCGGCCTGCAGACCAAAGGGTCGCGGGTTTGATTCTGGTCAAGGCACATGCCCCATGCCTCAGTTGCTGGCTCTCTTCCCGGCCCGACTGGGGTACAACCAATCAATGTATTTCTCTCACATCGATGTTTCTCTCTCTGTGTCTATCCCCCTTCCTTCCGTTCACTCTAAAAATCAATGGAAAAATATCCTCAGGTGAGGATTAACAACCAAAAAGAAGCTTCTAATACAGTGTCTATTTTCATTATTTCTTTTACTACCTCTTTGTCCTGTCCCTAGTCCAAGGTACCTAGGGTTTCCTTCTTCTTACTCATCTTGCCACTTTCATTTTTCTATTGGTACATTCAAGAAATAATTCAAATATTTACTGAGACTCTATCTGTGCTAGCCATTAGCCTAGAACTCACTTTTGTAGGCAGTGTGCTGCTGTCAGTATCCATCTGTCACTGATGAGGGAACCTCCACAGATGTGAGTCTGGCCGTAGTGCAGGCTGACCTGCCAAGGCCAGTGACCCTCAACAGTATCCTGGCCACCCACAATACGGCCTGAGTATAGAGGTCGTCCACACACTAGAGAAAGGGGAGAGAAGGAAATGTAGTCTGGGTGTCCCATTGTCCCCATTTTCTCATCATCTTCCAAATCTACCCCTAGAACCTGTATCCTCCGTAGGCTCTATATGCCATCCTAATCCAGTTCCAAACCCAGCAATTTTGGGCCCAAATAGAGACCACTCACCTGACTGCAGATCGTTCTTTTTGAAAGAAGAGCATGGCCAAGACCCTAAGACAGGCACACACCGTATCATTAATATATGATAACACAGTATCTAAAATTTACTGAATAGAGGCTTTCCACATACTAAATTCCTCAGGTTGGTGTTAAAGGTAAAAATTTTATGAATGTTTACCCATTAGTGGGAAATCCTGGTAATTTTTACACACCTACCTTCCTTCTTTAGCAGCATACATGGGACATAATTTAATTTTTACTTGGTGATTCAAGGCTGTCATCAGGAATATTAAGATGTTAGGTTGTACATACAGTGATGCTTTCAGATGTTTTTGAGGTTTATAAGCTGTTTTCTTTTGTCCTGTTTAACTAAATTGGCATTTTTCAGTATTTGTATATCTTTCTTTTTTGTTACCTGTTATCTTTTGGCTACTCTCAGCCTACCCTACTTTTAAATCACTGTGGGCCAAAAAAATAAATGAACAGGCTTATGCTGAAATCACTGAACAGCATTTACACTTCCAGTTCCCTAGTCTTGAAATGTTCTTTTCCTAGATCCTCTTAGCTAAATCACTCATATCCTTCAAATCTTTGTTCAAGTGAGTCCCTCTTTATGAAACCTTCCTTGACTCCCCTATTTAAAATTACAACATGCCTCCAGTTCCTATACTCCTGATGCCCCTTCCTCTCATAGCATTTATTACTTTCTAAAGTGCTATGTAATTTACATATTCAATATGTGCATTGTTTATAAGCCCCATGAGGGCAGGGATCTCTGTTTTGTTTACTACTATATCTGAGATACTTAGAAAGATGCCTGGCATATAGTATCCTCTCAGGACTTTCTCAGGGCACACTATTATAAGTAAGATCCCATTGGGTGACGTGTCATCTTATTCTACACCATAACTTCTTGAGCCAAAAAAAACCTCTCCTTCTCTCCTTCCCAGCCCACCTGAAGCTCACCCAGCATAAGGAACAGCAGGAAGACACTGCCAGCAGGGCCCATGTCTCTGTCCTCAGAATCAGCACTCCCTGCTTCCTGGACTCAGGCTTCAGGCAGAGCCCAGCTGGGGAGCAGCCAGAGGAAGGGGCAGCATCAGCTTCTCCTAGATGGATTCCTCTGCTTCACCCCTTCCTCTCCTTTGGTCTTCACCCAGAGCCTGGCACTGAAGGGACCAGATATTAGAAGTGCAGCAGCAGGAAGGACCCAGGGTGGGGAGCTGGGGCTTGAGGTGTTCCTTGCTGTGTAGGGAGAGCACGGTACCTGCTGGGTGGGGGAGGGTGGTTGCAGTAGCTACCTGCCCCTGTAAGTTGGAGGCCACTGGAAAGAACAGGACCCTTTTCTCTAGCAACAAAATGGAAGATGGACAGAATTCTTCAAAAGAAAGACGTAGTAAAAAGGAAATTAACCCTGCACCTGGCTAATTTTTCCTAATTTTTTTTCCACTCTGATACAGTATTAGCCTTAAAATATACTACAAGTCAAATTTTATGGAAAATAAACTTTAAGTAGAGATTTATGTGCAAAAAGTTTATTTGGGAGTGGTCTCAGAATCACCACCTCAAGGGGAGATGGAAGCAGGATTGGACAGAGGGAGAGTTTAACTCTAAGGCATTTTCAGAAAAGGCCTCAGCTCATCCCACAAGTTTCTTTGAGGTGGCCCTTCAAAGATGTCCTGAACTGAGACAAGAAGTCTGGGCTCTGGGACTTCTGCATGATTGAATGCAGGCTGCCTCCAAGAAGGGGGCATTACCTTGGGTGAAGTGGCTCTGTTGGCATTTCTTAGAATCTTTGCTGTGAACTGTCAGCAGCCAACACTCCTGGTTGCTAGGAGAATGAATGCTTCAGTTCTGAAAGAGGATGTAGGTGGTGCAGCACAGAGTGGATTATAGAATTAATCTTTGTGCCTTTTCTGTTTTCTGTACCAATTGTTTGTAGGGTACTAGGTCTGTGGAGGCAAATTCATTGAAGTCTTAAAGCATCTTATTGTTCTCTTGTAGCTTAAAATACTGGGAGGTTTGAAAGATACACATGAATAATTAAAAAATAATAGAATCACGGAAAATGTAGTCGTTTTGGTAAGGTTTGTTCAGTTACAAGCAATTGGGGATCGAACCCGAAACCTTTTGATATATGGGATGACACTCCATCAACTAAGCAAACCAGCCAGGGCTCCTCCATACATTTTTTAATGGTTCTTCTTTTATGCAACCTATTTGTGTGTGTGTGGCTTATACATTCATTCTGGTTATGTTTCTATCACTCACTGTGCTTTTTATTGTATACTAGAGACCCAGAGGAGGCGCCCCGCCTCCTGCCATGCGAGGAGGCACCCCAAGGGCCGCCACGGGAGTCGGGCCAGACCGGCACCATGGGCAGCCGGGACCTGCGCCTGACTTCCACCCCAGGCCCCCCACCCTCCCTGGCCCCCTTGTCTGTGTCCACTCCAGGCCACCGGAGCTGCAGCACCAGCTCAGGCAGGCCCCCATCTCTGTCTCTGTCTCTGCTCCAGGCCTCACCTGCACACGCAACCTCCTCCTGTCCAGTCGTCCCGTTACGGTGTCCTGGCCTAATTTGCATATTACCTCTTTATATATTAAGATAACAATTCTCTTAGTACTTTTCACCTAATTTTTTTCTGAAATTAATATTGCAACCTGTGATTTTTGACCTGCTCATTTAATTGAAGGAAAAGGTTTATTCCTATTACAATCTATGTGGGTATTCCAATTAACTTACAGCATTCAGGTCATTTTAACTATTTAGTCACATTTGCGAAGACATCAAAGCTCTGTTGAATTATCAAAGGAACAAAAATTTGACCAGGTACTCTTTTCACTCTGAGAGTCTGTGGTTGTCCTATATCTTTGGACTTTTATATTTCTAGACAAGTCTGAAGTCACTGATCAATATTCTTTACATATTAGTTGGATTGTTCATATAATCTCTTGTTTAACGTTTTATAAAATATATTTTTGGTTTTGGTTCCAATTTAGTTAGAAATAAACTTTATTGGAAGTAACTAAGATACCAGTTTCTTGCTCAGAAGTGGTAAGAAGTGGCAGGCTCTGGTTGCATTTTGAAGATAGAGCCAATAGGACTTGCTGATGGGTTGGTTGAAGGTATGAGAGAGTGACTTTAAAGACTTCTTAAAAATTATTAATATCGTTTTGTTGATTTCAGAAAGGGAAGGGAGAGAGAGATAGAAACATTAATGATGAGAGAGAATCATTGATCAGCTGCCTCCTGCATGCCCCACACGGGGGATCAAGCCTGCAACCCAGGCATGTGCCCTCACCGAGAATTGAACTGTAACATCCTGGTTCATAGGTTGACGATCAACCACTGAGCCTTGGAAGTGTGGAATTATCATTTACTGAGATGGAGCACACTGTAGGAGGAGCAGGTTTGGGGCAAGGGATAGATTAGAAATTCATTTATAGCCATATTAAGCTTAAGATGCTTGATAGATGTCCTATTAGAGATGTCCAGTAGTCAGTTGAATATATGAATCTGGAATCAGGAGATTGCCACAAACCGAAGGGCTAGATTAGGGTGTCACCAGCATGTCATAGTATTTAAAGCCATGAGATAAGATCACCTAGGGCATGAATATAAACAAAAAAAGCCCACTGTGAGTTTTAAGGATTGACCACACCAAAGCTGAAATGAGATTAATAGGAATCAGTAAGAGACTGAGAGGACAGCAGTGAGGTAAGCAGAGAACTGATAGGAATATTCTGGAAGCCAAGTAGAGGAAGTGTCTCGAGGAGGAAGTGCTCGGCTGCCAAATGCTGGAGAAAATGAACTGACCGTCAGATTTACAGTAGCATCATGGAATGGATTCAAGAGTAAGAAGGGAGTAATTGGAGACAGCAAATATAGGCAGTTTTTAAAAGTAGTTTTGCTGTTAAGGGAAGTTGAGAAATAGCTGGCAGAAAAGCCTGGGTGGTGCAGGGTGTTTTTTTTTTTTCTTCTAGTTTTGTTTTAAGATGGGAGAAATTACATCATGTTTGTGTGCTAATGGATTACCCAGTGAAGAGGGAGAAGCTGATGATGCAGAAGAGAAAGCTGGAGAATTGCTGCAGTGGTGTCCTTGAGCAGACAGGAGGGAACTGAACCTAACTCATTGGTTGAGGGGTGAGGATGCTTAGAATGGAGCACAGACAGGTCTTTCATACAACAGGAGCAAAAGCAAGTATGTGGACTTAGTTGCCATTTGGTAGGAGGTGTGGTGGTAGAAGTTCTCTGCTGGTTGTTTCCATTTCCTCACAGGAATAGGAATCATCTACCGAAAGTAGGAATGGGAAGGGAAGTGTTGAGGACTTGAGAGTGAACTAGTGATGTATGAGTGTGGGAGATGAATGGACCAGCGACATGACAGTGTGACTGCTGTGCCGCAGAAAGTATCCACTAGCATTTAAAGTGAAATTGGCATTGAAGTGTGTTCACAGGCACTGTTCCCAAGCAGCACAGGTGGAGGCGTAGAGAGGGCAGAGGGTTGGCTATAACCACGCTGAGGTGTTCTGAAGTGGGTATAATGAAGTAGGTGGGGGCAGGGCTGGACAGTAACGGAAGTCATCGAAATAAAAGGACAGACCTGATTTTCTGTTGCCGGAAATGTTTCTAAATTTTTTTTAGTAATAGGTTTTCAGATCTTTAAATTGTGACCTTTTTTGGAAGGAGAGACCTGTAATAGTACATATTTAAAATGTAATAGTACAGATTTAGTACTACTTTTTAATTTTCTCATGCTTATTCTATATAGGATATTTCGATTTCCCTCCAGTTAAAAGTCACATTTATTATTGATGGCTTGATAACTTTCTAATACTTTTTTAAGAGAAATATTTGGGGAAACAAGTCTCAGGTATGAAAATAGAAGAGCTAAATAAAATTCCTTTTCTTTTATTTGATTAAGGAAATAGGTCTAGCCCGGCCATGGTGGCTCAGTGGTTGAGTGTCGACCTATGAACCAGGAGGTCACAGTTTGATTCCTAGTCAGGGCACGTGCCCAGGTTGTGGACTCGATCCCTGATCCTGCAGGAGGCAGCCAATCAGTTGTTCTCTCT